CTCGTCCATGCTGAGACTCAAAGGCACTTCCTATGCGGCTCCCAACATCTCCCCCTTTTTTATTTTTTAAAAAGGCAGTATGTAATTCCACTTTGGTTATATATACACTCTGGAGGGCAGCTTGAATTAATCGGATGATGACTGGAAAAGAAATAAGAAGCAAAATTATAACCACTCCGGCAGCCCCGTAATTTATTAAAATATGCATAAAGGAATTATCCTTAAAATAACTTTGTAAGTTTTGTAAAAATTCTGCAGCAGCCTTAGAAGGATTCATATCATATTGAGAGGCTGCAATATCATGAATTTGTTTGTGTAAATGTTCCAAATCAATTCCCAAATCACTAGAATTCCACACATTTAAAATGTGCATTTGAATTTTCTCCCAGGAATATTCAGAATGATTTACTTTTAAAGGAGTAACACATATCCAGGAATATTTTTTATGGCAAGTTAGGGATAGACGAATTTTTAAGGCTGTAAGTTCTTGGCCAATATGTAAAACTGCTTCCTCAAGGGCATCAACTTTAGCTTCTAACTTTCTATCTATTGCTTCCTGGGTTGCTAAAGCCAAGGATACATTTTTTGATAAATCATTTGCATATTGTGCTGTTTGTACTTCTTTTACTAAAGTATATGTTGCAACAGTAAAAGAACTCAGTATTCCTATCAAGGCGGAAATTCCCAAAATCAAAGTAGCCACAAATCTTTTTGGCCTTATGAGTTCTCCAACCTGTCTTACAATTTCTGCCCCTATATCTGTATACCAAGATTCATTAAGCGCTACTGGCAGCATAATATAAGCTGGTCTTTTTAACACCATTATGGTTGACACATTCATTTCAGGAACAATACAAGTGGTCAGTATGCATTGTTGACAGGTAATATAAAACCTCATATTATATTGTATAATCTGTAATTTTTTACTATCATTAGAAAGCAACAGGGAGTACGGAGATGACACACAGGTTTGAATATAGTACTCTTCCACATGGGTAGTAGCTCTAATTAACGTTATTTTACGAGTGGTTAAGGGTAATCTCCATAACTGAGGTTGATAATAGGTTTTATTTTCATAAACAAAAGTATAAATAGGAGCCACCCATCCATGACTATTCCATCTATTTACCTTCAATGGACGGGGAATATAGGAATCATTCCATGGATATAATATGCCTTTTTCTAAATATGTTCTATAATCTCCCTCAGGAAAATTAATACTCCAATCTGAAATATAATATCTAGTTCCAGGAATGGTTATTTTATTTTCTTTATTATACATACAATATATCCATGAAGGATATCCAGTTTTAATATCTATCCAAATCCATTCATCTGTAGCTTTGTCTGCAGCCTCATCACAATCGTCATATTTAGAAGGATGAATATCTTTGGCTGGATATTTATTAACATAAACTTGGGTTTGTCCTACAACTTTTTTTAACAATGACCATAAATATCTTGTGGTTTTATCTTTTCCTTTTGACTCTTTAGGGGAGTCTGTCAAAAATCCTGCATCAACTACTGATAAACACCCATTTTTTGTTTGACTATTTCCGGTTGACCCAGAGCCAAGAAAAAAGCATATAGGAGGAAAATCGGTCTGACCTGTGAATGAGTAATTGTAATTAATCACAAATTGTTTGTAGCTCTGTATTCCTCGAATGCCATCGGTCAATTCAGGAAATGAGGAGGTTACTGGAATCCAGTTTTTCTGATTGACCGAATCAAGTTCTGACAAACAGGGTTTGCATTTTCAAAGGCTAATTGTTTAGCTAGTATGTTAGCTGCATCCTCATCAGTTATCACTCTTTTTATCTCTGTTAACAACCGAGAAACAAAATCCTCATATGCCTCCTCAGGTTTTTGTCTTAAATCTGTTAAGGTGGAGGCTTTTCCTGGAGTCAAAGGCAAAGACTTCCAGGCATTTACTGCGCACGTAGTTACCTGCCATAAGGCCTCTTTTCCCATATGCATCTGCTGTTGGGTTGAGTCATATTCTCCTTGACCTAATAACATATCTTTAGTAATATTAAATTTATCCCATTTCTTATTTAAAGCATTTTGTTTAGCCACCTGTTCCTCATATTCTGCCTTCCAAAGTAAATATTGTCCTCCCGATAAACAGGCCTTGGTAACCTGAATCCAGTCATATGGAGTCATCCATCTATTTGCTAAGGCATCTATAAGAGTCATGGTGTAAGGCGCCAGTGGTCCATAATCTATACAGGCCTTTTTAAGTTCTTTTAAAAGTTTTAGAGGCAAGGGATCCCAATATACATCATCATCAAAATCACCCTCAAAAATGACTGGAAAACAGGCCGCAAAAGCATAATCATCATCCTCACCGTTTATTCTCCTATGTCTTTTATGTTCGCCTTGACCTTTATTAAAAGGTGGCGGAGGTGGCAAACCTCCGACATTTGAAATTCGGCTTCTTGACCCTTTTAGAGGAAAAAGTGAAGCTGGTGGTGCGGTCGGTAAACGACCCAAGGGACGCATGTCATGTAAATTAGGTCTATTTTTCTTAGTTTCTTGCATTGAAAAAGCACCAGGGGGTTCGTACTTCCTTCTTTCATAATCATATGCAGCAGCATCTAAATCATCCTGATCTGCAGGAGGCAATTCATCATCAAAAGGAGGACTTTTTAACAAATTAGAGTTTTTATCAGTAGGTGACTCATCTTCCTCCTCTGAGTCATTATCATTAAGGTTACAGTCTTTTAAAGCAGCAGCCAAAACCTCAGTTTCTTTTGACGGTTTTGGGGAAAGTAACGGAGTACATTTATCCATTACTTCTGCAGGATATTTATATGGGTTCTTCTGACCTTCAGGCAAGGGGGCAATGCTCTCTCTAATAAGGTTCCATAAAGTAAAAGTATCTACTGGGACCTTCTCAGGTCCAAAATGACTGTAATATACTTGTAAAGTTTGCCCCACCTTTTGCCATGTTTCTATATTAACTGTTCCCTGTTCTGGAAACCATGGGCATTGTTCCTGTACAAACTGAAAAAACTGAGTTAATTGCTTGTTAGTTACTTTAATTCCTCTTCCATTTATCATATGTTTAACTATATCAATAAACAAGAGCCTCTCCTTGGACTCAGCGTGTCCCATCTTGACACCGTCTTACTCACCTTCCTAACCAGTATTCCTTAACTGGGGGTCCGCGGCACCCTACGGTGAGACTCCTATCCGTCCGAAAAAGAAATAATACTTACCCCTCCGGGTCCCTGTTCGGGCGCCACTTGCCGGGGACCAGCCCCAGCTGAACAGGATTCACCCAAAGGAGAAGA